AAAAAAAAAAAAAAAAAAAAACACAAAACAAAAAGCAAGAGAAGCGGCGTGGTTTAAAATACAAATGGAAGTGCAGCTAATTAAGCCACCGTCAGAGCCGCTTAATGCAATGAATATTGACAATCGCCACTGGTCGCGTGGCCCCCACATTACAGCCTGTTTCGACTCCCCACCTAAACAACAAAAGGAAACCCCCTTAGCTTAGTTCCCATCTCTTGTTAATTATGGAGGGAACCAAAAACTTATCGTAACTTCAACTTAACCCCCCAAAACTCTGAGCTTACCTTTTCATTGGCTCCTTTGACCTTTCCATTTCTATTTTCTCCACATGTCCTTCCCTTTTTAACTTTTAAGCTAACCCTACTGCCCATCTCAATTTACCCACCCAATCTCCTTCTAGAATAATAACATTCCTACTCTATATTTTCTTAAAATTTACTCATTCTGAATCCAAACATGAGTAGTTTCAGTTGATAAATTTTGTTTTAAAATATTTGATATTTTTTAAAAAAATAAAAATCTGTTTATATTTTTTTTTACGCATATCAAGAGAATGATAATTTTTTTTTTCTGTAATACCAACAGTATTTATTACTCATTTCAAATTATTTTTTCAAATCCAACAAAATATGTATAAATTAATATGAGTATCATGGTAAATTATGCACTTCATTTATTATTTATTAAGGGGCATGAAAAGTCAAAACATGTCAAGTAAAAGTGAACGGAGGGAGTAATTTGTAACTGAAAAGCTTAAGGAGAGATAAAAATAGTTTAGATATATACTTCTATAATTAAAAATATCAAATGACTCTATTGAACAGTGTGTAATTTTTTTAAAAAAATAAATAATACAGACAAGGAAATTTATATGTATTGATAGTGTAATTAACGATATTAATAGTTGAAATTAGGTAAAATCTTATTGTACGAAAGATCTCACAAATAAAACTGAATTGTCTAGTTTGCTAGCATATCTATGTGCGTAAAAACTTGAAGCCAAAGTTGTCCAACTCCAACTGCCCAAAAACTAAAATGTAATACTCTTATTATATGTGTCTTCACTTGAAGCCAAAGTCTCCAAATTCCAAATACACATGAGTGATAGAACAAAGAGAAAATAGAAAATAGAAAATAACCCTTGACCCTCCTAATTATTTATTATTCCACCAAACAACAACTACTACTACTACTATACACTTTCCTTTACTATCAAAGAGGCAAAGGCACAAACCCACAAAACACTACACGTTGTTCGACCGACACTCTCAGAACAGAGAAGAAACTAGAGAGAGAAAGCAAAACACATTCTAGTGAGAGAAAGCTCAAGTCTTTTGGCCATGGATTTTCAGATCTATGGCGTTAGCAATCTCTTCATCTTCACTGTTATACTCCTTTTCTCCATTGCAACTGCCACATTGCAAGAAAACCCAACTGCAACATTTGCAAAACCCACAACTTCGGCACCCCAAATCAACTCAAATTCCATTCTTGTAGCTCTTTTGGATTCTCACTACACTGAGCTTTCTGAGCTAGTTGAAAAAGCCCTTTTGCTTCAAACACTTGAAGAAGCTGTTTCTAAACACAACATTACCATTTTTGCCCCTAAAAATGAGGCTCTTGAACGTGATTTGGACCCTGAGTTCAAGCGTTTCTTGCTTGAACCTGGGAATCTCAGGTCCTTACAAAATTTGTTGCTGTTCCACATGATTCCCACTCGCATTGTTTCCAACCAATGGCCGGCGCGTGTGCACGCGACCTTGTATCCTGGAGATGAGAATGTGAATGTTGTGGAGAAGAACGGTGAGAAAATGGTGAGCAGTGCTATGATTATTAAGCAAGACGATATTATCAAACCCGACGGTGTAATTCATGGGATTGAGCGCGTGTTGATACCCAAATCGGTTCAGCAAGATTTCAACACCCGAAGAAGTCTCCGGTCAATCTCCGCCGTGCTGCCGGAAGGTGCACCGGAGGTTGACCCGAGAACTCACCGGTTGAAGAAACCAGCACCTGTGCCAGCTGGCACACCACCGGTGCTGCCAGTGTACGATGCGCTAGCGCCCGGGCCATCTCTGGCCCCGGCACCAGCTCCCGGTCCAGGTGGACCCCACCATCACTTTGATGGTGAAAGTCAAGTAAAAGATTTTATTCAAACACTCCTACATTATGGAGGTTACAATGAATTAGCAGACATTCTTGTGAATCTAACATCATTGGCTACAGAAATGGGTAAATTAGTATCAGAAGGGTATGTTTTAACTGTTCTGGCGCCCAATGATGAAGCGATGGCTAAGCTGACGACTGATCAGCTTAGCGAACCCGGGGCGCCAGAACAGATAATGTATTACCATATAATACCGGAGTACCAAACGGAGGAGAGTATGTATAATGCAGTGAGGAGATTTGGGAAAGTGAAGTATGATACATTGAGGTTACCACATAAAGTTGTGGCTGAAGAAGCTGATGGATCAGTGAAATTTGGGGCAGGTGAAGAAGGGGCATATTTGTTTGATCCTGATATTTATACTGATGGAAGGATCTCTGTACAAGGGGTTGATGGTGTTCTGTTTCCTATTGAGGAAATTAAGGTGGCTCCTGTAGCTGCCCCTGTTGCTAAAGTTGTTGCAAAGCCAAGAAGAGGTAACAAAAAATTCTACAACTTTTTTACTCTTATCTAATTTGGGTTTTGCTATATTAGTGTAAATTTTGCTTCTTTAATTCAATTCATTTGTTTTGTATGCTGTATCAAATTTTATTCTGAATGTTTTTAATATAGATGGTGGATGGTTATGTGAGTACTATTATGGAGTTTATTAGGAGTTGTTAATTCTTGAAAATGGGAATTAAGTTAGGTTTTTAAATACAGCAGCTTGTTTTGTCAGTTTGCGGATGTTAAATTTTGCTATTTTGATGCTAAAAATTGCATCTTTTGATGAATTTTGCGTTAATTTTGCTCTGTTGATGAATTCTAGTGAATTATCACAAAATTCTGCTTGATTTTTGTTGATATGTATGGAGTCTTTCTGAGTTCTTTAATCTTAAAAATGGCTATAAGTGTAATAGATGAGGTTTTTATGTTTTTTTACCTTTTAGATTTTGCTCTTTTGATGTTAAATATTGCATCTTATGAATTCTGGTGATTTTCACAAAGTACTGTTTGATTTTTGTATTGATAAGTATGGAGTTCTTGATCCTGAAAAATTGCTGAAAATGGGGATAAAATGAGGTTTTTATGATTCTGTTTTCTGGATTTTGCTACGTTAAGAATTGTGTCTTTCTTAGTAATTCTGGTATGATAAAGTGTGTTTTAGTTCCCCCGAGTTGATTTTTTGATGGTTGGTAAAAAAGACATGGCATTAGGCCTTTCTTGAAGCCAGTTGGTTGCCCAGCTTTTTCTGGTAAATTCTTGCACTTAGAACCTAAGCTACGTATCTAACTTTTGCACATGATTGAACATGTCATCTTTGCCCACATATATATTTATTAAATTTCCTTAATGTTGAGGTAGTCTTGTTTGCTTTGCAAAGTTTTAAGAATTAGGCAGTATATGTGAGTTAAGCTTTCATTGTCATCATTTTTCTATTGATTAATTGGCTAGATTACTTTTGGTTACAAGAAGCCAAAGGTGGTTGACATGGCAAGTAAGTGCATTATTTAGACACTTACAAATAGTTTCAGGAAATAGTAGGTCTAGAATCTGTCGGTGAGCCAAAACAAAAAAGGAAAAAAGGGGGTTTAGTTCTTTCCTTGCTGTAACAATTATCCAAAAACCATTTTGATGGAGTTAGTTTTTGTCAGGGAACTTTAGCAGTTGAATTATGAGAGAGGAAAATGTGAGAATGGAAGGGGTATTCTTGGTCAGGGATAGGGTTAGGTAAAACTGATCTTAAGACTGGAATGACAATGGTTGGACATTTAATCACTGAACCAAAATAGTTCTGGATTAGGCAAAATGGTTATGATCACCGTGTTGAATACTTAATCACTAAGTCAAATCTTTAGTGCCTATTGGGTATTAATCTATGGTGTGACATAATTTACTAATTAGGGTTTGGCCAAGTGGGTGAAAATCTTTGCCCAAGTCTTGGAGAATTCAGTGTGCTTGTGCCGGTGGGAAGTAGTAAGTCTAATAGAACAATCGAGGTGCGCGTAAGTTGGTTCGACCACCCCCAACAATAATATTCTAGTATAATCCCACAAGTGGTGGGAAGTAGTAAGTCTAGTACAACAATCGAGGTGCGCGTAAGTTGGTTTGACCACCGTATAATCCCACAAGTGAAGTCTGTGCAGGCTATACCACTTTATAAAATGAATGTAGGGTGTGACATAATGTTAAAATTCCATTTCAGCATCTGTGCAACATAGCTGTACTCAATAATTATTCCTAACTTGAATGTAGAGACATCAAGACCAGCCTGTTTGTTGACTAACACTAGCCCCACCTGCTCTTTGTTTTATCTTGCCTTTACATGATTGTCTGTCATGGATTTTTATATCTTGATTTAACATAATTAAATTTATAAATTTGACATTAACATTTACATCCTTCTACCAATTTTCAACCTTTTCTTCATATCTTCTTTACTTACTCAACTTATATTCCTTGTGAGTTGTCTAACTAACATCTTTGCCAACACTCTCTTTGTATTGCAGGAAAGTTGATGGAAGTAGTATGTGGTACATTGGGGTCATTTGCTTTTGCTAGTTGTCATTAAAATTTGTATACTGAGGAACTTCTGAAGATAAAGAATTGAAAGAAGAATGGTGAGTGTCTCAAATATGTGTATGAATTGTGATTTAGTTAGTTTACTTAGAAAAAAAAAGGGGGAAAAAAAAAAAAAAAAAAAAAAAGCTTACCCCAATTTTTTTCTTAATAAAATGGCAGTTTTTAGGAGGGCTTTGTTGATGGTGATCATAAACATAAAGGGAAGGAGAAGTGCTTGCATTGGAATAGAATTTGGACCTAATCTCCACCCCTCCTTCCTAAAAGAAAGAGAAGGGAGAATATCATCTTTTGTTTTATTTTTGTTATAAATACTGTAATTACGTATCAATTTTTTCATTTGTATTTAAGTTTGTTCTGCCGACAGTGTTTGTATCCAGAAATGTACCCCAAAAAAGGAAAAAAAATAATATTTTTGCAAGAGCATCATCTTTTTTGTACTCTTTGTCACGGGTTGTGTGCTTAGTTTTGGCCCTTTTTTGATACCGTAGCTTGTGAATTAACTATGCCTTTTCTAGTTCTTTTAATATAATATAATGAATGTGCTTTGTTTAGTGTAAAGCTCAAACTTCACTTGCCTTTCTTAAAGCATATGTATGGAGAAAGTGTTTGCACCAAACAAATAGTAAATAAAAGATATGTTTTTTGCATGTAAAGTTCAATCATTTAACTATGCATAAATGATTCTTCAATTTATTTGATTGGGCACGAAATTTAAGAAAATAAAGAACTTTTGAACTTGTGGTGTAAAATAGGGTATATATATTTTTTGTGGTTATAAATTATTGCATAATGATAAATTATTTACAAATATGAAAATGAGTTATTTTTTTTGGCACAGACTAAAAAAAAAATAGTATTATCATAAATTGAAACAAAGGGAATATATACTTCCAGTTTATTTTGTGATTCTATGTGATAAAGAAACTTAATTAGGTATAAACATTGTGGCGAATAAATATTTTTACTTAAGCCACCCCATCCTTTATTAGTATCGATTTAATTTTGTAACATGTGGTTGAACATGATTTAAGCTTATGAAGCAAATTTTTTTTAGCTAAACAAGGCGACAAATTGTTGTGATATGCCTTTAACATTCCCAAGAATACAACTTTCTGTTTATAAAACTAAGGCAAAATACTCCTTATTACATGACGGCGAAAATTATCTTACACGTACACCCTTTCAAATGTGTGTCTAATACACACCTTCTTTGGCCACAAGTAGAAAAGTATTTTCATGTAATGCACACGTTTGACTGCTTGAAATTATTAAACCTGGCCCATTTGTTTTAACTTAACCCTTATTTACTGCCCCACCCGACTTATCCATCTCTTATCTACCCCCCCCCCCCCCTCCAAACCCCTCATCATCTCTACCATTCTTTCTTCTTCAATTACAACCCCTAAATGTCATGCTACTATTAAGAGAATATCATATTAATGGCTGAAAATGGACGCAGAGCTTTTGATTTGGTACTTCAGGGATGGGTCTCCTAATGTTAGTGGTGTTTGGCCCAAAAGAAGCTACTAGTTAGAATTCTTTGGTTACCTCAGTAGCCATGGAAGATAAACCCCACAAGAAAATACTCATCAAAAATATTCTGGCTACATATCCAAACATTTCATCGGCCGGAGTAAGCAAAACTCCATTTCTGACAAGCAAAAGACGTAAAAGAAGAGGGTTTTAGTGTAAAATCCACGGCGTTGGAGAAAAGCACAGGTGGAGATGTAAAAGACCATGGCGAATAGAAATTAAAATCTTGCTCAAGTCGTCGAGTTGGTCAGTTTGCCGGAAGTGAGGTTGGGGACGAAGGCATTAGTGTTTATTTTTTTTTGTTTTTTCTTTTTGTATTTTGTGTGAAATAATACAAGGTAGAAAAGTATAAAAAAAAAATATTATTTAGATCATTGGATCAATTAATTCAAATCTACACCGTTCAAATAATACTGCAAATTCTCATTTTTTACCACTTCACGCTCTCCTTTTGCGTGAAACTTACTTGGTCAAAAGTGGTGTCTATCGGGGTGTTAGTTTAATGGGTGAAAATCATCTACGTCCTCCAAGTTTACTCCAAGTTTACTCTAAAAATCAAACGACTGTCATTTTCATTCTTTTATCCTACACAATGTCTATTTTGCACTTTGACATTTTCAACTCCCCATATACGTAATACCATTTTTATATTATTTAGATATTTTTTAATGCAGACATTTATTCATAATTTAAATAATATTATATCTTATCACATAATTTAATTTAAGTTTACTAACATTATAAATTAAATATTTATATTATGAATTTATTAAAAAATATATTGTTACTTTATTATTATTATTTTAATATTATGTATATTAAAATGCATATAATGTATGTCGGTGTATGAGATTTTAAGTTCCACTATTTTTATTATTTTCTATGTGTATATGATTTTTGAGTTTTGATTGTTATTAGTAGACTTTTTTCTATATTATAATTAAAGTTCATGTAAAGTGTAAATATATAATTTTCGTAAATTTATTATAAAATTTACCTCTATTTTTCCACCATTATTTTTTATTACATGCATTGTATAATTTATAAAATTTTCACTCTCATTTATTCTTAATTTTGTAAACAAATTGTGTTTTGATTGTTATTAATAAAATTACTAATATAAGTAGGGCAGGAGGTAGGGCAGGGTTTAGGGGGTGGGGCGGGAGGCAAGGGAGGTAAAGGGAACAAGGGTGTCTGCAGGTTGAGAATTGGGTCATGGAACGTAGGTACACTTGATAGGAAGATGTGGATGTCGAGTATTATGGCTATAGGTTAGGAGATAGTTGAGTCCTGCCTTACTTCGTACTATTGTGGGACTAGCCATGTAGGGTTTTTATCTAAGATAGCTAGTGACAATGTTGTGTCTTACTATTTCGCTTTTCAGTGCAGGTCCTATTTACTATCTGTCGCTTTTGCTTTGCATCTTTCTTCTAGATTTCATGGTGTTATTATTTTTCTTATGATTATTGTGGTGATACTAATATTGTCTCCCTTTGCTTTGCATCTTTCTTCTGGATTTCATGGTGTTCCTATTTTTCCTATGATTGCTGTTGTGATAATTATATTGTCTCCTTTTTGTCCTTTTGTCTTTTTGTTTTTTGAGCTGAGGGTGTTTCGGAAACAACCTCTCTACTCCTTCGGGGTAGGAGTAAAGTCTGTGTACACACTACCCTCCTCATACCCCATTAATGGATTTTACTGGGTTGTTGTTGTTGTTGTACTAATATGAGTAAATTATTTATTGTAATTTTTGTATTTTTCTCGTTTATTTCACTATTGAACGTCATTAACTTATATTCTTGATTACTACTTCTCACTTTTCTTGGTAAAAATAGCACGGATTAGCCAGTTTTCGGACTGATAATTAAAAAATAGCTAGCGTTTGCAAAGTCATTGAAAAATAGCCACTATTTTGCTGCAATACGGAAAGTTCCAGCATAATATACTGGAGATTGGTGCACCTGTATATGAACTTCCAGCATATTATGCTGGAACTCCAGCACGCGAAAAGTTTCAGTAAAATATACTGGAGATTGGAGCACCTGTGTATGAACTTTCAGCATATTATGCTGGAACTCCAGCACACGGAAAGTTCCAGCATAATATACTGGAGATTGGAGCACCTGTGTATGAACTTCCAGCATATTATACTGGAACTGCAGTATATTATTATGGAAGTTCACATGTAAAAAATTCGAACTCCAGTATGTTATGCTGGAATATTTTCCGGATTTTGAACAGTGTTTTCTTTCAGATTTATCTTTACATGAAAAGTGACTAAATTTCGATTACTTTTGAAACTGTGGCTATTTTTCAATTACCACTTGTCAATTTGGCTATTTTTGAATTTCACCCCTTTTCTTGGGTTTCGAAAAAGTTTCTTTAATTTGTCTATAGGTTAGTCGTTAACATAAAATAAAATAAAAAAACTATCATTATGTTAAAGAATAAAAATAAGAGATAAAAATTGTAGAGGGTAAAATAGGCATTTTAAGAAGTCACTTTTGATATGAGAAGCAAAATGATATTTGTTCAAAGTTGGAGGATGAGTTTGATTTTTAAAGCAAATTTGGAGGATGTAAATAATTTTTACCCTAGTTTAATACATTTGCCACTAAACGAAATAGTCATTTAACTAACCAAACAAACCACCCATCAATAACATTAAAACTATTTATTCGTTTATTTCTAGAGCTTAAATGTTCAAAGCCAAAACTAAATTATACATGGAAAAATTCGTGAGAAATTGCGAATTAACCATCTAGATGAAAAACCTTGTCAACTTCGGGGCCCGAAAGAGAGCAGAGACAACATGGCAGGTATTCTCAAAAAAGAAAGAAGCGAAGAAAGAAACGAAAATAGTCAGGGAGGTAAGATCGAGTAAGACTAAAACAATATTATTACAAATTGAACTAAAGAAAGAATGTTGACTGCTCGACAACGTGAAGGCTGCACGAGCCTTGTTACGGACTAAAGTCCTAAAGAAAAACGACCCCAATCCCTCTCCGGCCAAGGTCAAAGGTCTTCCCACTCTTTTTTTTCGGGGCAGAGTCAAGTTCGTTAGGGTCAGCAAATCAGTCCCGCATCATATCGATAGCGATTCAGATCACTCCCCAAACCTACTTAACCTAATTGTGTGTGAGCAATCCATTGTCATAAGTTGACCGATCCATAATGAAATATCGATTACATTGCTTTGAAGGATGAGTTGTATGGTATGCTTTTTTCCCATCAGAGCCATACTTGAACATTTTTTAATCTGGCGTCTTCCTTAACTGTTGAAAAATGATGGTTTAGAACTTAATCATCAAATGGTAAAGTATACATTTGCCAAAAAGGAAAAAATGTTTAGTTTTTATCAAATTTATAAAGAAAGAGGGAGGAAACAGAACAACATCAATTATTGGAACAAAACAAAGTACAACTCCTAGTAATAGACTAGAACAAGCGGCCGGCATGTATTTGTCGGGAAATCCATTTTATTATGTATTTACATGCTCCTTTTGATGGTGATTAAGTTAATGATTATTCACATCATTGATCAAATTGGGAACCGAAACTGAGCTGGCCTTCATATGAAATTATTAGTTGTAAAAATAAGGATTTAACTTATGTACACTATTTATATTGATATTGTAACAAAATTTCCCATTATTAACGTATCTATTTTAAGGTTACTTTACTTTTTAAGGTATCAACTAGTTATATGTTGCTCTAAGTTATCTTGATCTAATTTCTGAAAAAAACAATTCAATTGTTAGTATGCAGAAGTTAAATTATTAGAAAAAAAATATGATGTGGGGACTAAGGCAATTGAACACCACCATCACTCTCTCTCTCCCCGTCAAAGATATTTTTGACGCAAAACATAAATTTACGTATAAAATTTATTAAAATTATAATAAA